CCCCCCCCCCCCCCCCCCCAAAGAAAAACAGCATCTTTGTAGAGAAGCACATTGACGCAATAACTATCTTCTATTACATGAAAGAAGTAAGACAGGCAGACAGAAACAGGGGAGAGAAAAGAAGAAGGACACCTACCTTGGTCAGAAACAAGAGATGAGAATAATGTAGTAGGACCAACCCTGGTGTTCTCCAACCATCCTTTAAATACTCTGTCTTTGCAAGACTTCGACAAAACCGAAAATATTTTTAAAAAATTCAGTACTCACCGTATCCTCAAACCCTTGAATGTAGATCTGATCATCAGGGAAAGGGTTGTGGTTCAAACCCTCGGCGACTGTCGCTGGTAGGTTCACCGTTACAGCCGACTGTAAGGGCAATAGGATTTTGCTGAAGTTGCTGGAGACGTAACGCAAGGGAAAAAGAACAAAGAAACAAAATGAACATCATTTCACACAAGAGGAAAATAAGACAATGCATGGCCGTGTCTTAGAAGTTTGTATAATACACTGCATTTTATTTTTCACAAATACAAATAGTCAACATACAATGATTTTAGATGCTGTCCTCTTAAACAGGCTTAACCCTATCCATACGTCTCATTTTGTACCCCAGGGGTTGTATTCTTAACATTTTAGAATACTTTTAGTTCGAAGATCTCTATGAAACTTTCAGTATTTCTCAAAAATAATTTTGACAGACTGCTATGCAAACCGTACGGACTGGATTAACGAGTAAATTTCCTCTTTGGAAAGTGGGGGCACAGAGTTCCCCCATGTCGTATGGATACGACAGTAAAACACGACATATGTACCAGTGTACCAGTTCTTCATTCTTCACTTTTATAACGAAAACATTTTAAAGGGAAAATTGCAAGCAAAAGGAGGGGGGGGGGGAGACCATGAATCCAACATTACGTGAAATACCTGTCCTCTAAGAGACTTTTCAGAGGTTTGAACTTGAGACAATCGAGCATTACATGCAGTAGGCCTACCTGCCCTCCAAGAGACGTTTTAGAGGTTTGAACATCTGACTCAAGCTGACTGTCATGTTACTGCCAAAATCCTTCTCACAAAGCTCCAACAATCTCTCCGTCAGCTTTTTACAATCCTGACAGAAAAATCAAATCAGAGAAGTGAGAGATGGAAAGAATGGGAAAGAAAAAGGGGGCAAAGGAGACCGAGAGAGGAAAGGTGTGCTTAGTCTTCTGCATATAAAGTCTAAATTGTCTAGCCACTCATTGTTGAGGAAAAAACTGAATATCTTAGACAGGTGAACTTTTTGGTCAGGACAGATGAAAACGAAGAAAATCCATTCCCTTCTGAGGCCCCAATTCAAAGTAGCATTAGGCTTAAGATTGACGTAAAGCCCATTCTGTTTTTGTTTTTGTTTTCTTCAGGAGGGATGGCAGAAAGCGAGGTTTGGGGTTATGAGTGTGTGTGTGCGTGTGTGTGTGTGTGTGTGTGAGTGTGTGTGTGAGTGTGTGTGTGCGTGCATGTGTGTGAGACCAAAAACCTACCTGGATGAACTTGTTCAGATCTGGCTGTTTTCCTCTGTCAATTAAACAACACAATGAAATTATGATTAGCTCAAAAACAATAAAGTACTAGTCCACTATCATTAACTATAATTATGAAATAACTTAATTATAATACAAACAGTCAATTAACTATAATTATGAAATAACTGAAATCATCATAATTATGATTAGCTAAATAATATAATACTAAAGAAATAGTCAATTATCAACTATTATTATAAATGATAAAATAATTATAATTAGCACACAAAAAATATAGTACTAAAGAAAGGGTCAATTATGTATAATTACGTTAGTAGCAATAGTGAAGAAGTAACAATTACAGTAACAGTAAAACAAAATACAAGGCTTGGAGCATGGACACATTTCTTCTGTGTAACCTCCGCTTAAAACTGATTATTATGAAAACGTGTGAAAATAAACACAAATTAGTCATTTTTGTCTATGCATACAAGGACGTGTGTGAGTGTGTGTGTGTGTTTAAGTTGAGCGTATGCGTGTGTGTGTGCGTACATGTGTGTGTGTGTGTGCGTACGCGTGTGCGTGCACGCGTGTGTGTCTACATGCATGCATGCCCTTATTTGTGAGTGTGCTTGTCTCTTAAATAACGATGAAAACAAGAACAGACACAGCAAATCCTTGAAACGAGGAAACACTTACATAGCAGTGGCAAATATCTCCTGGCACCGCTTCACTCTCATGAGGTAAGAGGACTGGAGAAAATATAAATGTAGAAAATATAACCCAGTAGGTAAAATTATTTAGAGCGGTAGAACTCATGTGGTACAAATATTACTAATAGGTCAAATTTATGAGGTAAAAATTTTAATGAAAGGTACCGTCGAATCTGCCTTTACGGCCACTCCATGAAGATGATCACAAGTACAAATGTCCAGTCCCCATTTCTTCCCATGTGTTTTAAAAAAACCCTCTTATAATGACACTGTTAAAGATGTCAACTTGTCTGAGACATTCATTTTTCTTTTCAACAATGGGTGGCCGTCTCGGACAATTTGATTGTAATAGTAAAACATAATATATAAGGTAAAAATAGTTGAAGGTATATCTCATGAGTTATATATGGATTAGTAAAAGGTAAATCTCATGAGATAAAACATGAGTGGAAGGTATATCATCTCCAGAGGTAAAGTCATCAGACGATGGTATACCATCTCTTGAGGTCAAAATATCAGTAGAAAGCGTAACTCAAGAGGTAAAAATTATGGTACAAAGTGTGACTCATAAGTCAAGAGGATAGGAGTAAGAATAACAGAAGAGGGCATAAAACAAGCAGTATTGTCACACAAGAACAGGAGATAGATAGACTAGTCTGTCCCTGTCGCTTTATGAAAGAAAAATTATGATATTATGCAAATTGAGCCTTGAAATGTGAAATTATGCGATTCTGTTAATTTTAACAAAGAATTATAAAGGAAAATAATCAGAAATTATGCAAAAAAAGATCAAATTTTGCTAAATTACGCGGGGTGCATAAATTCACGGACAGACCAGTGTGATTGTTATGATGCGCAGAGACGTGTGGGACGGGAGTGTGGGTATACTTTACTTTTACTTATACTTTCTATATCCTATAAAGGACCTCTGACTAAAGAGACAAGACGGATAACTTACTTTGGATACGGCCATCATCATCCACAACGCTTGCTGCGGGTACTGAAGGAGAAGACTAGCAATAATATCCTGAAAATAAAGGCTTACAAGTTTAACAGACATTACATCGAATACAGTAAAAGTTTGTTTGGTTTTTTTTTTTTTTTTGGGGGGGGGGGAGGAGTGTAGGTGTTTTACGGAGCTCGCAACTGCATAAAGTCATATGAGACTCACCAAACATTTTCAGTTGGTAGGAAATTTTTTAATTTTGCGCGGGTGGCCGCTGAAGCCTACTCTTATCGAATTTGGACCACCAAGGGATCTTTAACGTGCGCAACTTCCACACGGGACCTCCGAGATTTTTCGCCCTTGTCCGAGAAGGCTAAGTGTAGATATTTCCTACCAGAAGATCAGGGGTGCGGCTGAAAGACAGCAGCAAGAAGGAACAAAGGAGTAGCAGTAGAAAGGTTGCAGACAGAGTCAGGAGCCCAGAAGAGGAGGTAAAGGAGGTGATATGGTGGGGGCAGAAAGTGGAGACGAAAGCAGATGATAGAACATTGCTAGAGAGCAGGAAAGGAAGTGAAAGGAGACAATTTTAGAGAAGAAAATGTTTCCGTTGCTACCCAGATTCGAACCCGCGACCTTTGAATGAGAGGCGAACACCTTAACCTCTAGGCCACAAGAGTCCCCAAAGTAATCCCCCACAGTAAAAGTTTAAAACTTCAGAGTGATCTATGTTTATTGGGATGATATCTATAAAACTAACGGCGACAGATAAAAAGCATGAAAGCTGCTCAGTAAACAACATCAAACACAACAAATATGTTACAACCAACGGTTACCTGCAAAAGCTGGAATACCTCTACACGGGCGTGGCAGATTCGTGAGATGAGCTGAGGAAATGCCGTGAAGAACTGGTACGGGGCCAACTGCTGGCTCAGCTGCTGCACGTTCTGGAGTGATTGTAAATGATTGTAAACAAATGTAAATGATTGTTAATGATTGTTAATGATCATAAATGATTGTTAATTAATGTAAATGATCATAAATGATTGTTAATTAATGTAAATGATCATAAATGATTGTTAATGATTGTAAACAAACATAAAAAAATATAAATGATTGTTAATTAACCACCCACGGCATCCCCCTGGCCCAAGCTCTCCGGCTGGCAACAGAGAGACGTCTCTTTCTTCCCACGACACCCAAAAGGGTATAAGCGGCGGATAAAAGTAAAAGTAAAGTAAAATTAATGATCTTAAATGACTGTAAATGATAATCATGATCATAGATGATTGTGAATGGTTGTCAAGATTGTAAATTGTTGTAAACAATCATCAATAATGTAAAACGATCGCAAATTATATCAAATGCTTGTAAACAACTGTAAATATTTGTAAATAATCTTAAATGGACGTCAACAATTCTAACGATTGTAATTAACTGTAAATGATTGTAAATGGTCCCAACATGACATTCCTGATGTCTGGCTTAGATTTAGCACTTGAAGAAAAAAAGAGGGGACAAGGAGGGGTGGACGAGAGAGAGAGAGAGAGAGAGAGAGAGAGAGAGAGAGAGAGAGAGAGAGAGAGAGAGAGAGAGAGGGAGGGAGGGAGCAAGGTAGGAAGGTAGCAGCAAGAGAGAGAGAGGAGGGAGAAGAAGAAAAACAACTCACCGAGTTGATCCTGTTCAGCACCGTGCGCAGGGTCTGTAGCTTCGACGAGACCTTCCCCTTGTCCTTGCGCTCAGCCTCAGCCACAGCCGTGCCGGAGTCCAGCCACAGGCTGAGCAGACGCGGCATCGACTGGTAGATGTGCTCGTTGCCGTACTTCAGTGACTGGCCGAAGAACCGAACCACGTGGATTACAAACTCCCTGGAAGGGGGGAGGTGGGGGGATGGGATGAAATTGTAACTATAGATATTTTTACTGCCTTATCGACACTGTTTAGAACCAATGGGAGGTGGGCCCGTTTCATCCTTTACTGTCAGGACTTGACATTGACAGGGAAGAATGTTAACTGGGAAAGTCAATGAAATCTTTCTCTGAACTAATTCACCCTTGTTTTTCATCCCATTACTGAACTAATTCACCCTTGTTTCTCATCCCATCTCTGAACTAATTCACCCTTGTTTCTTATCCCATCTCTGAACTAATTCACCCTTGTTTCTCAATTTACCCTTGTTTCTCATCTCATTATTGAACTAATTCACCCTTTTCTCTCATTCTATTACTGAACTAACACACCCTTGTTTCTTATCTGTAACTGAAATCACTCACACTTTTGTTTCTCATCTCATTATTGAACTAACTCACACCCTTGTTTCTTATCTATTACTGAGCTAGCACACCCTTGTTTCTCATCCCATTACTGAACTCACTCACCCTTGCTTCTCGGCTCTTTCCTTGTCGTCCAAAAACGTAACCATGATGCGGTCGTAGTACTTGGCCAGGTGGAAGTAGCCGTCCTCCCACTCTGGGCACACCTCGTACACTTCTTTGTACTGCTTCACGATAGAGTTGGTCTCCAGGTTGGATGCTTCCTCGTTGTATTTCGCGTATAGCAGCAGAGACTGGGTGAAAGATATGAGAAAAGTATGTGGAAAAACTAATAAACAGAAACAGTCTGTGGGCATAAGACATAATAATAATGAAAATAATACTAATACTACTACTACTAATAAAACAATATAATAATAATAATAATAATGATAATAATAATAATAACAATAAAGCTTTTAAACTATTAATAACAACAATGATGATGATGAAGATAATGATAAAATAAAATAACACTACTACAAATGAGAGGTTGATTCACTGGCGTCTGTAGGTGCTTCGCCGTTGCATGCAAGAGGTTCTGGTCTTTCCTAAGAGATGTTGTATACTTCTCAGCCCGGGCTGGCTCTGAAGGGCTGGGTCGAATTCCGCCCCCTAAATGATCTTAATTGTGTTAATGGGGGCATAAAAAAACCTGCAGTATAATTTTAAAAAATAATATAATTTTTATTTTTTATTTAACAGAGAGAGAGAGAGAGAGAGAGAGAGAGAGAGAGAGAGAGAGAGAGAGAGAGAGAGACAGAGAGAGACAGAGAGAGAGAGACAGAGAGAGAGAGAGAGAGAAAGATAGAAGAAGAGAGAGAGAAATAGAGACCGGTTCACACTTACCTTGGCATAGACTTCTTTCAGCGGTCGGTTCAGAGCCTCTATCTGTCCTGGCTGAGTCATGCCACCAAAGTGCTCGGTGATTCCTTTCTCCAGGCACGAGATGGCAGCCTCTGGCTCACCCTAACATACACAAGCCATAATTGCTTTAAATTACAAAGTCTTTAGTTTTAGTAAGTGTTTCACTGCACTTGCAACACAGTAAGGTTATATAAGTGCCGAAGATTTGAGGTGTTACTAGAGAGTAACAAACACAAAATAGAAGGAGGGGAGATAAAGACGACAGATGTTCGATAGGAAAGAAGGACCAAACCACACCAGAGCACCCGCCAACCATCCACAAATTACAAAGTCTGTAGGGACTATTCTAATCTATAAACTCTATAGTAACGATATTTTAAAAAATCACGAAGTCTCCACAAACCACAACAGTTAATTCTTTACTAAGATGAGATTATTTCATTTAAGAGGTCTCTGTTCGGTCAATTGACAAAACAAACCAAATCCATATATGGCCTCAATACTGATTTAGACATGTAACAAAACAAAAATACAGTCGAACCTGCCGTAGTGGTCAGCTCTTCAGGGTGGTCACCGGTACTAATGACCACTGTTCTGCGACATTTTTCTTATCATTGCTGCAGGATTTTAATTACAACTGACTCCAAAACGCGGTTTTTGTTTTTCCCCCTAAATTCTGACTGACATCACACAACACATTCTATAAATCAACTTTCAGCCAGAAAAACCTGTCAAAATATTTGCTCCAACGTTGGATTTTAAACAGCTAAAATGTGGTTAATATCCTTACTTTTTGTTTTTTTCACTCTCATGTAAAATTTACAGAAATCAAGTTAGACATTTAGAATCCTGCAGCAACATTATAATTTTTTAACTGACCGTACTGGCCTCAGTCAGTCATATTTGCAACAAGTCGGACTCTAAAACCTCCTAATAGCAGTCACGTGCTGGGAAAGTTTTCCGTCAATTTGTTCTCATACTGAGTGTGTACATTCAATCAATCCAAAAAAGCTCTTCAGACAGATCATATTTATGGCAATAAAATTGAGAGATAGTATTAGGACTTAAGATGTTAAGCTATCGGTTAACTTTGTCAAATATAGTAAGAGACCATAAATCAGACCCTAATTATAGCGACGACTTGTCTAAAGTGGTCACATCTCTGTGATACGGAGTGACCATTATGGACAGGTTCAACTGTTTTTGCAAAAGCTCACTTTTTCTCTCAACCATTTGGCTTTTTCCAAGAAGAAATCTGGGAGGTTGTAAGAGTTAGCTTGAAGTAGGCAGCCGTATGCAGATTGGAGGTATCCAGCCCTGGGAAATAAATGCAGATTTTACAGAACAAATGACAAGTGAAAAGTGAGTCTTTACCCTTCTGTGCACTGAAAGCAAGCCTAAACACACAACTGCATCGGGCAGGTCAAACACAGGCTGTTAGATAACTTTAAGGGTCTCAAAATTTGGGACCAGTTGTCTGAAACTGTTGGCAATATACACTTTTTGTTTTTATCTAGTTTTAGTTACAGTTCTATGGCACTTGTAACATAAATGGGTCATATACAAGTATCCTAGAAAGTAACATGCAAAGAAAAGAAGAGATAAGGATGAAAGATGTTCGATCGAAAAGGAGCAAACCACACAAGATCACCCGCCAACCATGTCAGAATGCACGGTCTAGGATATTATTATACAAATCTATGAGCAAGTCAAAGATGAGAGTAATTAAGGGGTCTTAAAATTTGAGGATGGTTGTCTGAAACTGCTGGCGATGTACTTTTTTTTTTTTTTGGGGGGGGGGGTAGTTTATGCTGAAGGATATTTACATAAAGATATCTTTAGTTTAATAAATTTCAGGTTGCAGGTTTCTTTCATCTGTGCCCAATGTGGCATATTTTGCATGACCAAGAAGTTCACCTAGAGCTTCGAGAGCTCTTAACCTTAAATAGGTGAAAGATTGGGCACATGCTTCATGCAAATACATTAATTGGAAATACAGTAAACCTGTCCAAAATGACCACCCAAGGTTGAGAAAAGAGACGGGTGGTCCTCTTGGACAGTGTCATTATAATATAGAAGCAAAACCTAAAAGGGGAAATGGGAAGTGGTCATTTGTATATGTGACACTTTTGGAAAGGTAATCGTCTTACAAGGTTTGGCTGTACTAATATAGTCATAAAATAAATTACTTCTGGGCAATCTATAAATACAATGTTAAAATGAGAGAGAGAAAAAAAAAAAACATACTTTCTGGCCACTTTGGCACTCCATAACCACCACTTCCCGATCTGAACGTCCAGACTGGGGTCTCTCTCACTCTGTACCAGAGACAGTAAGGTCCTTCTCAGGGTCAGAATCGGCTCTTGGGAGCGAAATGACGACTGTCGACCGAACATGAAAAAAAAAAAAGAATCAAAATGAGTACCTTTTTTACACGGGATGTAAGCTTCATAGAGGCTCAACAGCATTGTTCTATATCAGCATTATGTGAAATTTGATTGACTTTTCTTTCTTTTTTTAAGTAAGAAGAAGCACACTGATACAATAGAGGGCATCTAGCACAATGAAAGAGCAAAACTGATGGAAAGACGAAGAGAGAGAATGTAATGAAGTATGGCCTACAAGTGGCACCCTCCAACCACTCCCGAGACAAAGTTGGGTTAAGTGAGATGATGCTGCCAAAGACGAAGAAAGTTCTGATGACCTACATGATGTTGATACAATCGGGTTCTAACAGAAAAAAAATGAGCCAATCAGCAATTTTTTTCCTTTAGCTTGTTTGTCAAGTCTTTACAAAGGTTAAGGGTCAAGGGTCAGTGACTGGAATTGACTAGTATCATAAACTACAAATCAGATGACAAAACTCACAACCATTCTAAAAAAGGTAATACAGAACACAAAGCACTAAAAACTGAAGTTTCAACCCAAAAGGTTTTAGAAGTGTAAATATCGGCTTTTTCAGAAAGATTTTGTTGACCAACTTTTGAATTGCTGGATACAGGTGAGGAATGGTTATCTGTAGACCAAAACAGATCTCCTGTTCTTATCAAGCAAGTCTTTTTAACTCTTTATCTCCAGCAAGCCGCTCCCAGCGGCTCGAGGTCGGAACAACTAGGCCGGTGAGCCGCTGACAGCAGCTCAGGCACATTCCTTTACGTCACGTCGACTTCAACATCACATTACTTTTCAGCAATTGCCAAAAACAGGTCTCTTTAATCGAAAGTTCATTTATTAGACGAAGAACTATCGAAATAGGTTTGCTAGTTTTGATTTAATGACCCATTTAATGATGTTTTTGTCATTTTTACATTTAGCACAAAAAAAGGGCCCAGGAGTAGTGGATTTACCCCCCTCGGAGATAAAGAGTTTAAAAAAACAAATAAGATCAACATTTCTTCTTTCTTCTTCATCCCCCAGTCTTAGATGACCGTTTGGGCACCAAAGATGATCGAGCTACAACTTTTTCTCCAACCTTCTCTATTTTCAGCCTTTCAAAGGGCTTCACCCAACTTTAAACCTGTCCATTCCATTATGTTGTCTTCCCATTTCTTTTTCTGTCTGCCTTTCCTTCTCCCTCCTTGCACAGTGCCCTGTAGGATCATCCTTGCAAGTCCTGTTGATCTTGTTATGTTCCCATACCATCTCAATATGTGTTCTTCCAGTGGTGAGAAGATCTTCATAAGGCCCAATGGCATACCAGATTTTGTCCCTTACTTTCTCATTCGATCAACATTGCACAGAGCACGGCGCACCGGCAGTGGAATTTTAGTTGCCGCGGGGGGTTCCCCGCCGGGCGCCTTATCGCGTCGGGGTCACGGGGGTCAGCTCCCTGTCGTCGCTCTGTCTGGGCCGACCTAATTTTTGGTACTTTTCAACGTACAATTTAAGGTGTATCCTTGTATTATGGTAATTCTCATTTAGTGCACCCAAAGCACGCATTTCTGCTCTTGAGACTCAAAAAAGAACGGACGTTGTAACTTGTCTGGTTATTTCGTTAGACGCGCTGGAGTCGGCAATGCTAAATTGTAATTTTTTTTGGACTAGAGTGAATGAAAAAAAATCAATATAAAAAAAGGCATCTTCAAAATTTGTCGAACTTTTGGAACATGAACAACATAACTTTGGTGCAGATACTCAGAAAAGATGGTATCTGCGCTTATAATAGAAGGCTGTAATTTTACAATTTTATCCATCGGGCACACAATTCGCTATGAAGTAATTCCTCCAAATACAACTTTATGTGTCTAATATAATCGTGAATATTCGCATATTTTCTCGAAAGTTTATAAAAGTTACCATGAAGTTTCTCTATGAAAAGTACAAATCGATTTTAGTGCTAGAATACATCTTTAACGTAGATCTAATACACGAACAGTATCCGTTACACTCCAGAAATTCCTTACTTTCCTTAAAACGCTAAGTCTAGGTTTTGTAAGTTGACTGAATAATAAGGATGACTTCTCGTAATTGGGTTATAAGAATAATTTCTAGCTTTCCAGGGACACTGAATCAGCACCAGACTTTTCCAGCTTTTTTTTCGTTTCTATGACCATTTGCAATAACTGACAATGTGACTGATTTCTTTACATTCATAATTGTGTCAGCGCATATCTCCTACACAAAAACTAAGAATGAATGTTTCAGCTGTCATTATTTTTATTCCATACAAGAAGTTTATCTCTACCCATATATTTACACGGTTTTGTGGTTTTTTTAATGGCTTATATTATATCTTTTTAGTTGTATGCAGGCTGCCACAGACACAGCATGATTCATGAACAAACGCAGAGTAACTTTCTCTTGTTTAATAGTAAAATAAGAGCTAACGCTGATCGTTTTTAGTTAAAAAATGCAAATGTGCATCTTTCTTCTCTTATAACTTGACTATTACTACTAGCGCAGATTTAAGATTTCTCATGGTAAAAGACATGATATTCGTAGTCAGTTTAACACAGATTTTGGAGAGATCTGTCGTGCCTTTTTAAAATTAACAATCATTTATTCATAAGTTTGTAACTAAAATAGGACAAATTGGGTACTCTACAAACACTTGTCTAGAGCAAAAACTAAGGCTCAGAAACTAACCATTCTAACGCAGAATAAATCTCAAGACATTGAGCTTTTAGTACATCTGCGTAATGGTTTGCTATGTGGGATGGGGAAGAAGTTATATCGTTTTAAACATAGTCAAAAATGCGAACTTCCTGACCGACAGCGGCAAAGTCGCTTCAGGGCTCATTAACCCCGTGACCCCAGGCCGGGGAGCTCCGGCGGGCTGCTGAGTCACGTGAACTAAAAGTAACAGAATCGGGCGGAAAGTGACGCTGTGAGAGACAAGAACTGTGCTCCAGCACACGGCAATTCAAAACCCATCTACAGATAACCATTCCTCACATGTATCCAGCAATTCAAAACCCGTCTACAGATAACCATTTCTCACATGTATCCAGCAATTCAAAACCCGTCTACAGATAACCATTCCTCACATGTATCCAGCAATTCAAAACCTGTCTACAGATAACCATTCCTCACATGTATCCAGCAATTCAAAACCTGTCTACAGATAACCATTCCTCACCTGTATCCAGCAATTCAAAACCTGTCTACAGGTAATCTTTTCTCACCTGTGCCATCTGAAGCCTGGACTGCCAACTGTCCAGGAGCTGTGTGGAGGAAATGTCAAGGTCCTTCTCGTCCCGTCGCTCCTCAGGGAAGTCGCTCACCACTTGGAAGAACTGCTCAATCTCGCTGATCATGTGTAGTCTAAATATAGAAACATTGGTTCAATCTCGCTGACCATGTGTAGTCTATAAATATACATAGAAACTTTTGTTCAATTTCACTTATCATTTTATATATAGAAACATTTTCTTCATCTCGCTCATTATGAGCAGTGTAAACATAAAAACATTTCCCAATATTGCTCATCTACATACAGAAACATCTTCCTATATTGCCCAATCTCGAAGATCATGTGCAGTCTATCTATAGCAACATATACTCAATTTCAAGATCATATCGATGATTAATATCGCCCGTGTCTGAATGAACTCTGTATTCGTGAAATTTGGTGAAACACTTTTGGTCATAAATTGTTATTCACAACCGTAATCATAAATGGAGACACTATGTGTGCCACGACGCAGTGGAATCAGGCTCTCGTCAATTTTGGGGCATGTAGATTATTGATAGCATCTTAAAGCTAGTTCACTTGTCTTGCTCTGTTTGAAAAAAATATCTGTTTATCTCGAACAGAAGTCGAGATATTTGCAAATGAAGTAGGTGGGGGTCACCTGGTTTCAGACGTAAAGTTAGAAAATGGCCGCCAAATATGAGTTGAAATTTACTTGTTTTGTGCCTTTAATCAACATCTTTCATTAAAATCAACACAGAAATGTGTTCTATAACGGGCATGAAAGGTGTTGAGCCAAAAAACGAAAATTGGAAAAAAATTAACAAACCTGCAGAAAAATACCAATTTCTTCACTTTGATTATTCTGACGAGCGTCTGATTTCACCACGCTGCCTCACATATGTTAAAAAAAAACCCACCCTACACAAAATTTCCAGCTATTCTGGTGGAAAATAAAGAAATTCACATTTCTGAAAGTCAATGTTCATGCACATATACGGCTAGAGTTGGAAATTTAACAATATGCAAAAATGACTGAATTAGGGACACACAAAGTTATTTACTTCTGTTTTTAGAAGTTTTCCATTAAAGTGTAGAAGAAATTGAGTCCAAAAACAAATGTCTTTCATATTGTATGGATTTTGAAAAAGATTGCTACATGCTGAAGGCTTCTGAATACACAAAGCAACCTGCTGGGAAAAGATGCATAAAGTACCTGAGAATGTTTTCATAGCCCCGATGATAAGAACCAATTTCCATGCTAGCGGCAGACAGGGGTCCCATCTGTTCTCGACGGGCGAGATCTAGCTGCTCAATGAAGTCAGCAGCTCTCTGGGAGGAAATTCAAAATTTACCCAGTCAACAGAGAGAATAATTTCAATTATTTTAATAATCTTCGTCACACTCTCAGGAAGTCAAGCAGCTGCATAACAAGGAAAGTGTTAGATTGGAAGCCACTGGGTAAAAGATTAAGGGGAAGACCACGAGGAACCTGGAGAAGAGTCACGGAAATGGATGTACAGAAAAGTGGGAAGAAATGGAGTGACATCAAGCGACAAACCCAGGATAGGGAAAGGCGGAGAGTGTTTGTTCGTTGCCTGTATCCTGATCCAGGGTGAGAAAGGCAATGATGATGATGAATAATCTTTGACCGTAAATGTATTTAATCCTAACTGATGCACTTTTGATCATTTAGGAGATGGGCTGCTTCCACCCTGACTGATGGGGCCAACCCACGCTGAGTGGGATACAACATCCCAGCAGACAGACGGAGACACTTGATTTATTTTTTAAAAACCTTCCCCTACAGGGAATTGCATGTTAAGATGAAGAGCCTGAATATAGCACCACAGATGCCAGTGAATAATTCAGAGAAGGTAAAAATATAAAGTTTAGTTTCAGTAAAGGACATGCTTCGATACCTTTATGCTACTAGAGAAGGGAAAATGTTGGGGTTTTTTTTAATATTTGAAAAACAACATGAAACCCATATACACTGAAGTCAAAATCAGTGTCCCAATGATTCACATACACCTTTGTCTGTTTTTTCTTGGTACCGCAAACAACTCACTTTTTCTTTTGCAGCCTTAAGAACTCGACCAACAAGAACCGGCCAGGACCTGCTTGACTGCTTCTCCTACAAAATCAAAATATGACCTAAATGACAAAAAATATAAAAAAACAAAAACAACATACATACTCACTGAAAGAACACATACTCATATTCAAAGAGAAACTATTTAAAGAACACAAAACTGCAATTATAAAAAAATAAAATCATTTACTAAACAAAAAATTACATTTACAAAACAAAATTCTATTCGCAAACAAATAAATTGCATTTGCAAAACACAAAACTTTTTATGAAGCACAAAAGCATTTGTGAAATGAACTGTGTTAAAGAAACTAAGAACTGCATTCACAAAACTCAAAACTTTGTTTACCAAATACAAAACTGCATTTACAAAATACAAAACATTACTTTTAAAATGCACATAATAACGTTTCCAAAACAATTATATTCTTAAACTACTGAGCACACAATTAAAATGGAAAAGGAGCTAAGCTTTACAATAGTTGATATGAATGACCTTGGTTCAAATCCCTAATGGTGGAACCTTTTTTAACCCAGGGTTTATTTGGGGAGTTATCTAACCTCTCCACTTATTTAACACAGTTCTATCAAAAGCTGACATTCTAACAATAGTCTTCTCAATGTAGTCTTCTCTATAATAATCTCAGTGTTATTAACTTTAATCCATTCATATGTCTATAATAATCTTAGTGTTATTAACTTTAATCCATTCATGTGTCTATAATAATCTCAGTGTTATTAACTTTAATCCATTCATATGTCTATAATAATCTCAGTGTTATTAACTTTAATCCATTCATATGTCTATAATTATCTCAGTGTTATTAACTTTAATCCATTCATATGTCTATAATAATCTCAGTGTTATTAACTTTAATCCATTCATGTGTCTACAATAATCTCAGGGTTATTAACTTTAATCCATTCATATGTCTATAATAATCTCAGTGTTATTAACTTTAATCCATTCATATGTCTATAATAATCTCAGTGTTATTAGCTTTAAGCCATTCATATGTCTTTCGGAGGTTGGAGGGCGCTACTGGAAGATCCCATTTCTCATGTTTCTTTCAGTTAAATCTGTCTTTCTTTCTTTCTTTTCTTCATGCAGTCAATGCACTTCTCTTTACTCAAACAACCACCCAAAATTACGTGTTTGAGGGCTTCATCCAGCTTATCCCAGCTCCCCAGCTTCAAGGCCGCCTCAATTCTGTACGTGTTAAGCTCTGCAGTCCATCTTGGTCTGAAAAACAAAATAAAAATTTCAGACGCTCCAGAAAAAAATTTCTCAGACAATGGAATCTGGAAAAATCAGTGTCTGTGGTGTAGCGGTTAAATGCTTCGCTGTTGCATACAGGAGTCCCAAGTTCGATTCCCAAGTGAGGATAGTTTTTATCTTGTATCTTGGTCTTTCTGCTGAGATGTTCTTTCCTTTTTCAGCCTATGTTGGCACGGATAGGCAGGGTAGAAGTCTGCCTCCTAAATGACCTAAATTGTGTCAATGGGGGACATTGCAGACAGTGAGTGTGGAAGAT